GGCTGGGGCAGGTGCAGGGGGTGGGGTGGGGTTTCTTTCCCCACTGCTTCCATCTTCCCCAGACTGGGGGGTCACCCTTATCTTGGGAAGGCATGGAGAGCAGGAGAGAGGGGATGGCTACAGACTGAATGTCTGCTCCCTCTCCTGGAAGTGTTTCTACCAGGCAAATTTCTCAGAAATTTCCACTGGTAGAAATTAACATCTGTATGCGGCTTTATTCTGAGCCTCCTCACTCACAGTAAATTCAAATACATTCTTTCCTATACAGTGATTTTAGTCTCTCTCTTAGCTGAATTTCAACAGTTGTTAACATAAAAAAACCTATCAGAAGAGATTTCTTGGACCATAACAAAAACAAGATAGTTTAATTCTAACAGATTTAGCATTTGATTCACTTTATTGCTGAAATATATATGGCCTGAGGAAGAACTTTTGCTGCATCTTACTAGTTTATTATGTATAAAACAGATTTAAAAAATAAAAATCACGTTTAGAGTAAGCCAACATAAGGCTTCAATATCAGTGGAAAATGTATTCATGGTTGCTGAAATGGTGCTAAACATAGCTGCACATCTAGAGAATGCAGTCTAACCTATATGTTCCACGCAGAGGTTCACTTACATCCATTGCTGACAACTGTTGTAGGTACTATAGAAACTACTGTGGTTCAAGTTGATTAAAAAAGTTCACATTTTAATTGCATGATAAAAATCACACTTTAATCTATATTATTTTATTTTTTTAAATCTCACTATATTTCTTTCACAAAATGAATACACATTTTTATTTATTTGATTGTCCCTATCCTCTCATTTTGAGTTTTGCACTAGTTTTTTTGCCATATCTATGATGAACCAATTTGATAAGAAACAAATGTTGGAAACAGTTGCTACAAAGTGATGCAAGATGCACATTTGCCATAAGCAGTTTACAGATAATCACAATGCTGCCAGCCCAGGGACTGAATTCTATCTTTTATGTATGTATACCCTACTGCTACTTGGAGAAGTTGGAATGAAATGGCGGGGAGGGGGTCGTCAAACAGGTTGTTTGCGTGTTCCTTTTCCCTTCAATTGTGAACAAATGCTTACAAGCCTCTGTTTCTACCTGCATATTGCTTTTTCGATTGGAGCAGAGCAACTCAAATTTGTTTGCTGTTAGGCCTGAAGGTTCTAGCACTCAATGCAGATACAGAACCTATGGGACAATTTGTAAAATCAATTTGATTCTCACAATCTTAGGCCAGCCTTAAACTTCTTCATTAACATGTTCAAGCATGAACATTCTAATGTATTTATCCTATTAGTAGTGCTAAGATTTTTCATCAATAGTAGTAAAATGATGCTTTAAAAATGCTACTTATTAAGTACCTTGTTCATAACAGAGATGGGCAGCCATCCATTCTGTCTCTGGGCCAGATCTAGTACTGCCATCACAGCTCCAGATTTATGTCCCTCTGGATAGTTGTTTACTATTGCTTCTATTCTCTATTTGAAAGAAAAATAGAGTGTTGTATAATTTACAACACTTAGGTTCAGTTTTGTGTTCTTTTCTGTACAGTTTTATGCCCTTTTATGAATACCTTATAGTTTTCAGGTGTGAAGTCAAACGGAATATCCAGGTTATTTTCAGGAGTATCTCTGTGCTAAAAGAAAGAACAAAAACAGGTCAAAATGCTATTATAAAGGGGGAAAAAAACAGAATATTTCACAATATAATTAAATGGTTATCGACCTTTTTAGACTCAAGACACCCCTCAGTGGACTCGAGGCAATCAGTGAAAAATGCCAATTCTTAGATTTCACTTGTTTTCTTACTACAGAAATATAATAAAACAGTTCTTGTGTTGCAAAGAATTCAGAAACACCACATGTCAGGATGCCTTTGACACTACGGATTCCTGTTTGAAATCTCTGGGTTTATCTAGTGAATCATATGTGCACACTTAAAAGTAATAACACTGCATGGCACCCCACAGCATCCTTGAAGAGATCTCAAGACACTCCAAGATGCCATGGCACGCATGAGAATCGCTGAATGTGGTTATAAAGTAAATAAAATATACCTTCTTTAAGATGAGTTTGTTAAAACACGTAAAATATCTAAACTTGTAATCTAATCCTTACTTGTCAGAACCTGGGGGCATTATTATATGTTAGTTCAGTGACTATGAAAATTTGTTTTTGTAGTTGGAGAAAAATATATAAAAGAGCAGAATTTTCTCTTCGCTATGAGCAAGAAGTCATTTTTTAAAGCAAGGAGTTTTGTGACAATAGTAAGACAGATACATAAAACACAGTTTAAAACAAGCCTGATATAAACAGAGCCCAATCCTATTTATAGCATTTAATAATATTTATGAGCAATTTATCAGAATGTTAGGCAACACTAAATTTTCAGCAAGATTATAAATTAAACTGATTTGATAACATTCAAAATGAGAAAACTGTTTCAGGTTAATTCAATTGTAAAGGCTCATATTCCTTTTAGAGTTAAGACATGTGATGCTATATTTAGCATGTTTTGAATATTAAAAGTGATGTTAGACTCAACTGTATTTGCTCAAATCCAAAACGAGCCTTAATACAAGACAATCCCCTAGTAATTAGATAATATACATGGAAAATGTGTATTTTAAAAAAATAATTTTCCAGGTATAGAATCGAATTATTGAAGGGTTGTTTTAAATTTGTCCCTCTCCAACTGTTACAGCAGGGAAAATAGTGATGTGGAGGGAGGTCAGGTGGCCCCCTTGTGCTCTACCCTAGTTCTTCCCCCTGTGGCCTTCCTGCCCCCACAGTCTCTACCTCATCCCTCACGCCCTTACCGTCAGACCTTATTTAGGATCTGTTACCCCCCCAGAGCACGAGAGCTGCATGTGACAGTAAGTGGGGGAAAGAGGGGTGGGGCAGGAAGCTGCTGTGCATTTGGCTCTGGCCCAACCCACAGCAGCTGTCTGCCCCTCAACTTTGCATAGGAAAACCTTGTTAACTTGAAAGAAAAAGGAGCCAAAAAAATGTACTGACTTTGAAATAAACATACCCACAGTAATTTGAATATATACAATTACTACAGACTTAGTTCATCCAGAATTGATACATCTGAACTTCTTGCACACTTCTGCAAGTTTCAGCACATACTTTATTAACACTTTTGAGCAGCACTTGTACACCTCCTTATACAAAGTATAAACTATGCCTAATAATAGTCCAAATGGCTCATGATTTATTATCACAGAGTTTATTGGGCTGGGTGCCAGCATTTCAAGCCATGGCGACCTGACAGCCCAGCACTGCTCAGTATGTGCATATACTCCAGATACCCTCCACAAAGGATCCACATGAGAATTAGCCTCTCACTCATGACTGGAACTGCATGTTCTTTCTCACAAGTCCTGGAAACCTCCAAAATATATATGCAGATGAAACGTGGGGCTGTCTGGGCTAGCTCCACCCCAAGGAGGGTAGGGCCACACTGATCACATACGACAGGCCAAGAGAGGGATGAGAAAGTCTCTCATCTATATAGAAGTTTGGTGATGTTTGCCAGACATGTAAAGCTGGTGAAAGAACAGGAATCATTGGAAACAGGAAAAAGAGGCACAGCTCAGCTGCACAAGTGAAAAGAAAGTCAAATGTATTTGATATTTGGTGGCAGAATAGGATCTTGGAGTCATAGTTGACTCCAGGATGAATACGAGTCACCAATGCGAGGAAGTGGTCAATAAGGCTAACCATACCTTATGGTGCATCTATAGATGCATCACAAGCAGGTAGAGGGAGGTGATCCTTCCCCTCTATGCAGCACTGGTCAAGCCACAGCTGGAGTACTGCGTTCAGTTCTAGGCACCGCACTGCAAGAGAGATGTGGCTAACCTTGAGAGGGTTCAGAGGAGGGCAACTCACATGGTCCAGGGGCAGCAGGGCAGGCCCTACGAAGAGAGGCTAAAGGGCCTGAACCTATTCAGCTTCCACAAGAGAAGGCTGAGAGGGGATCTGGTGGCCGTTTACAAACTCACCAGGGGGGACCAGTGAGAACTGGGGGAGACTCTGTTCCCCTGGGCACCACCCAGGGTTACTAGGAATAACGGCCACAAATTGTTAGAGAGAAAATTCAGGCTGGACATTACTTTACAGTTAGGGCTGCCAGGCTCTAGAATGGGCTCCCAAGTGAGGTGGTACTGTCTCTTTTACCTTGGGGGTCTTCAAGAGGAGGCTGGACAGATATTTGGCTGGGGTGATATGACCCTGGCACCCATTCCTGCCTGGGGCAGGGGGTCGAACCTGACAATCTGTTTAGGTCCCTTCTGACCCTAGGCACTATGATACTATGATATAGTGGTTCACCATTAATTGAAAAAGAGCTGGTGCTGAGGGGGACTGAGCACAACAGGCACTATAACTTACTCAGATGGGTTGCACTAACCTAGGCTTGTGCCAGGTACCCAGGACTAGACAAACAGGCAGGGGAGATGAGAAGGAAGGGGCAGAGGGCTGAAGTTGTCCTATCTGTATCTGTGATAGTTTAAAGGTGATGGTGGTTGGAGTGGTCTTTGTAACAGGACTAAGAATGGTGTATCTGTTAAAGTATGTTTCGGACTGTCCAGGGAACCTGCCGTCACAAGACAGCTTGTTAAAAGTATAGCTATAGCTATAAATATATAACTGTCTATAGATCTATATCTAGATATATATCTGTATACCTCTATCTACACATACCTATACATATGGAGGGGGGGAAGAGAGAGACAGAGGTTTGTTTTGTTTTTAAGAAACACACAAAAAAAAGGTTCCATTAATGCTTTCCTCCAGTATGGGCCATGTGTTTTCTAGGCTTGTTGAGCATGGGTTGCATTCAGTCAACTTCATAACTGGTTTCCATGACTGAGCACATGATGCTTCCAGCAGCAGTTTAATGACAGATAATATATTTAACAGGGAGGGGGGAGAGGTCTGATATATAAAAAAAAAAATAAGACAAGGGGCTTTTTCCCCAATGCTGGCAGGTGGAAAAAACCTCAGGTAAATGCAGTAATAATTGCATTCTAACATCCAAAGTATACATTCATGACATCAACTAACAAGATTTTAAGTTAATAGTGTAGTTTACATTTTCTTAACCGCTAACTCCAAAAATCACCAAATAGCCCTCCAATCTGTAGGTTATTTCTCCTTTTTGTAACCTTTCTTTTTGTTTAACATCCCTCTAAATCAAGAAGGATACTTCTCCAGATGTAGTAGATTTATCTCTAAGGCCTTGAGCTGGCATCTGAGTTTGTGGGCTGATCCCTGCACTCAAGTACAGCCTCATTTAAGTCAAGAGAGTTCAACAGGAACACATACCCATCCCTATATAAATTGCATTCCTGGGTCATAAAGTAATGAGTGCACATTTTTAATAAGGAAATAGTTTCAATATTTCAAAACATGAGTTTGGAAGCATCTTAAAATAAAATCTTCTGGGCAACTTAGAATTAGCTATAAAAGATTGTTAAAACTTTAAATTCTCTTTTAAACAAAATAGGTCATCCTTTATTTTAAACAGTTAAAGAATGGGGTGTTAAATGCATCTGGCTTCATGGTTTGGATGAGTCATGTGGGATTGGTCCACAGGCTGGAACGGATGCACAAACCAGGCCTGCATGCCAGATCCTGCTCATGTTTTGGAGCAGCCATTGTGGACACTACATGTGACAGCTGTCTGTGCCACTGGATCCTTCATGGAGCTGATGCATGCATGCTGTGGCACAGTCCTGGAGCAAGCTCTACGTGCAGCACATAGGGCTGTGAGGCCTCCTTGCATGCTGCCTGTGGGTCAACTCCAAGACTCGCAAGTAGCACTGGGGGCCAGCTAATAGGACTCTGCCAGCCAGATTCAACCCCAGAGCCATATCTTTTGACACCTCTGATTTAAAGTAAATTATTATTTCTAGTTTGAAGAACAAAAATCTGACCATGTGGCAGCATTCCTCCTGTCTTTAATACATACTGTATGAACTCTAGTATTCTTAAACTAAAAATATCTAACATTTTTGCAAAATCCTTAAGACGTGCACATTACTAACCAAGTTAACTACAAGATCCTTAGGTCTGGTTGTGAAACCAGAGATTCTATTTTTTGATTGGCTACAATTTGCAATAAGAACAGGAAGTTGAAATGTTATTCAAAAGGAAAACACACATAATACCCTAAAAAAAAGGCAAAACCTCATAACAAGAAAACTAAAATTGAAGTTTCAAATTCAACTATCAACCTGAATGCTGACAGCTGAGGAAAAACTGACATTTTCCCATATAGACATAAATTTTGACAAAACAATTTCAATGAAAAAGTCTCCTATGTAAGAAGCTTTAACTAGCTACAATGATCTTGTTTCAAAACCTTTGACACCTTTTCTCATAGATCTCAACGTGTGCTTCCATCTGACATCAAGACGCATTATTTAGCCAAGTGTTCTTTGTGAATGATACACCCTTTATCATGGTCTCTATGGGTTTCAGGTTCTAATGGTTAAAAAAACCCCCAAAACTAGTCCAAAATGGATGTTTCAAAAGCACTTAAATAATTTAGGAGAACAAGCCTCACTGACTTTCACTGGGTCTTCTCTCTTTAGTAATCTAGTTGTTTTTGAAAATTCCACACAAAGTATGTAACTACCTATTAAATGAAGCATCACACAAACATACATACCAGTCCCAATCTACAAGGCTCATACGCAGATAAGGAAGGTCTGTACCAAAAATTACCTGTAATATACATCCTACAAAGTATATGTGCTACACTGTAAACAAAAATCTCTCAGGAAAAGATAATACAGAAATGTTATTGTAAACCAGGAAAAGAATAAAAAGGGATTCAACCAGGAAAATTATCGAAAAGGGATTCACCAATAAGAGACATCAGAACTGAAGCAGAGGCTGCAGCACTGCTGCAAGATGGACTAAAAATGGTGCTCAGCTGGCTTTAACACTCATCGCTCAGTAGCAAAGTGCTGGGTGATAGGTGACTTGCAAATTACTTTTATATTTGCATGTGCAACCTACCTAAGCCTGGAGCTTTGCCTGTCTAATACCTTTGTATCTGTCACAACTATGACTATGGTGATTTCACCTGTAACTGTAGGCTAGTGCTGTTACAACTGATTTGGATTATCACGGATAAAGTTGTCTGCTATATACTGCTTAACTTAATGATTGTATGTCTTAATAATATTTACATTCTCTCTTCATTAATATTGTAAGATTATATATCACTGCTGAATTATCTAATAGCACCTACCATTAAAATAATTCTTATTTTGTTTTCCAGTTCACTAGAAGATGAAATGAAAGAAGGGACTTTTGTAAAAATAGTTGATGTGTTCTCAGATACAGGAATATGATCATTTAATTATTCACAGATTTCTTACAGAGTATCAACTGTCATGATACAGTTGTGTCATTTCTCACGGGTACACCAGATACATTTGTGTATCATGGATCTATTTCCATATATTAATGTTTCCTCAAACCCATATGATGTATCATGGATCTATTTCCATATATTAAGGTTTCCTCAAACCTGTATGACTTTTTATTTGTATTTTATTTTTGCTTGTTTCGTCTTGTCTTATATGCTTCTGTGACTCAGTTAATTCTTGTTACTAATCTTAAATTTGTTTTTCCAAAGAAGTCAGTTCGATTTATAAAAGCTCAACTTTTTTTGGAACACCTGCTATTTATTGAGATTCCTCAAGCAGACAGAAATACACATAAGTGTGCAGGAAATAATGAACCACTGTCACTGTCTAAGCACAGGTCTATGCAGCAGAGGTTGGAGCAATCATATTAGAGGATACAGACCAGGTAGGTGAACAGCAGAAATTTTTCTATTTTGTTGGCTTCTTCAACTTCCTGTATGAGTAACTGTTGCTAATGTTTTGGGGGTGAAAGAAAGCATCTGTGTAAAGTCTGAGAGTTTTTCATCCAGACCTGTTCTCCATCCAGGGCTGCGCAGGAGTTGTCTCTATTTTATAAAAAGGTACCATCTGCCTTAGATTTATGCTTACTAGTTTAACTCTTTAAAACAAAGGCTCATTTCTGCCCCTTTCTAGGCAGAACAGTCTGGAGAGCCAGACTGGATTTACTGCTGACAGCAACCGTGCCTTATGTGCTGGATGGAGCACTTCAGCAAGTCTCCCTTGCTACCCTTGTTGACTAACACCTGAGCCAACCTATTTACTGACTACCACCTAAGTCAGCAGCTCCCAATCTGTGGTACGGGTACCATGAGTGGTACGCAGACAACCTGTCAGTGGTATGCATTAACAGATTTATTACAATTACTTTATTTGACAAAAATTTGCTGGTGTAACTTAAGGTTGCATTGTTTTAAATTGGTGGTGTGCAATCTGTCAGCGTTTGGGAACCGCTGACCTAAGGACAACCATCTACATGCACAGAAAAGATGAATGCCTTCTGGTCCTTCTCCCTTTGTCTAGGGGTTCATCAATAAAAATTTTCTTGGCCGATACTGATAGCCAGTTATTAACTAGCCGTATCAGTCAATACCAATCTGATAACCAATTTACAGGAGTGCAGCTAGGCAGCGTGGAGAGCAGCTCCCTGTAGATAAGTCTATGGAAGGGAAGAGGTATGGGGGCCGGTGGGGCAGATTGAGGACCCCATGGTGAGGGAGAGAGTGGGGCAGGGGCTGGGGGCTCTGCCTAGCTAGGGTGGTGAATGGGACCTGGGGCAGGGAGTGGGACAGAGCCACAGGCAGCTTGTCCAGTGGATCAGTGTCTTAGAACTTAAAAATGGTGGTTGGGGCACTTGAACACAAGTTCATCGAATGAGCTTGAGTTCAAGTGCCGCCACTGTCACCATTTTTAAGTGCAGGGACACTTTTAAATAGAATGGAGCTGAGCAGAGTGAAGATGGATGCAGGCTGCTGGCTCTGAGCTTGGGGCTCTCTGCCCTGCTGCCTTTGCCCCAGCGGCCTGCGCTGACCGCATGCCCCCTGCCCACCCAGCAGGAGACAACTTGCTGCCCCCTCTGCTGCCATGTGGGCAGGGGGCATGTAGCCAGCACAGGGCTCCCAAGGGAAAGGCAGCAAAGTGGTGTCACAACCCAAAGTTGTGGATTTTTTGATTGTGTGTGCTTCGGCACCGCTAAATTATGTTCCCGCCGAATTGCAGCTCTTTTGCACGACGGAGTGTTCCGTTGTTATAGAGAACCTGCGTGCAGAAAAGTGTTTCCCGCCGTTTTGTAGCCTTCTTTGCATTGTGCATTTCTCTTGCATTATAGTGATGCACGCTGCAAAGGAGTTCCCGCCATTTGTATTGATATTTGAGCCACATTATTGGCCGGTCTTAATTTAGGCACACGTGGCGGCTAGCTATTGACTTGCTAGCCGTACAAAAGGCTTGGGTGGTTTCCGCCCAAGTTGGAGAGAAAGACGGAGAGAGAGACGGAGAGATGGATCTGTAAGCGCTGTGGGTCCTTTCGAACCCAGCGCGTCTTTCTTAAGAAGGCGATAGAGGCTCCAATTGCTGAACCCCCGGAGCC